TATAAGTTGGAAACTCAGTGCTACAGGTAGAAAAATAGCAAAGAAAATTAACCTGTTTGGTAGCAGAGCGGCTGTATAACCTTTAGTCTAAAAAAAATAAAGTTCTGAAGAAATATGTTGGTATTGACCTGTGGATGCCTTGCCAATGTAAAGGCTTGGCACAGCTTAAGTACTCTCACTACATAACATCATTTTTTCTAAAGAGGAAGACCTGAGGGGTGGAGCCAAGATGGCTGAGTAAAAGCAGTGACTTGCTTGAGCTCTCCTTCAAACTCCTTCAGATAAAAAATGGCTCTAAACAAATTCTAAAGCAGCAGAACCCACAAAAAGACAGAGTGAAACAAATTTCCAGCCAAAGACAGCCTGGCTGGTTGATCAGAAAGGTATATCATGCCGGGCAGAGAGAGGAACGCAGTTTGGCGTTGGCGCGAAGGCCGCGGAGATCTGGAGCAGGCCTTAGAAGACTGAATTGAGGGCAGCTGTGGCAGTTACTCGACTTCTCAAGCCATGAATGCCAATGAAAACTTGGAAGGTCAGTGGGAAAAGTCTGTGACTTCGGTGAGAGAGAAGCTAGGTCTCAGCCACAAGTCCTGAGCTCAGGCCTCGGCTGTTTCCTGAGCTTCCGGCCGACAGACTGAAGGGGAATCGAGTGGCTGATCAGAGGGGGATTGCAGAGATCTCTTTGCCTGTGCTGAGGTAGGAATCTTTTGCTTTGCCTGTGCTTTGATCTGCGTCACAGTTCTGGGTGGTGGTCCTGCAGCGAGGAGGAGCACTGGTGTGGTGGAGCTGGTAGTGGCTGTGGAGAGGAAACTCTCCTCACAGTTCCAAGACAGAAAAGAGTGCTCATAGACCAGAGCACAGGCCAGGAAAGGAGTAAACACCTCGCCCTTGATCATAGCACCTTGGAAGAACTGAAAATTTACAGGTCCCTAGAAGTATCTCTGAAAACAGCTGCACAAAACCCCTGAAGCTTGGGACAGTACATTCTCCACACTGCAAAGAGACTCCTACCTTAACAAAGGGTTTATAACTCAAGTAATTGGCCGGGATCATGAGCAAGCAGTGCAAAAAGAGTCAGGCTATCTTATATTATCTTACTTTGGTGACAAAGCAGATCAAAACATACAACCAGAAGAAGACGACGAAACCAAAGCTCCTACATCTAAAGCCTCCAAGAAAAACATGAACTGGTCCCAGGCCATGGAAGAACTCAAAAAGGATTTTGAGAAGCAAGTAAGAGAAATAGAGGAAAAGCTGAGAGTGATGCTAAAGGAGACCCCAAAAAAACTGAAGAAAATAACACCTTAAAAAATAGCCTAACCCAAATGGCAAAAGAGGTCCAAAAAACCAATGAGGAGAAGAATGCCCTAAAAAGCAAAACTGGCCAAATGGAAAAGCAAATCCAAAAGCTTACTGAAGAAAATACTTCCTTAAAAACTAGAATGGAGAAATTGGAAGCTAGTAACAATTTGAGAAATTAAGGCACTGTAACACTAATCAAAAGGAATGAAAAAATAGAAGAGAATGTGAAATATCTCATTTGAAAAACAACTGACCTGGAAAACAGATCCAGGAGAGAGAACTTAAAAATTATTGGACTATCTGAAAGTCATGATCAAAAAAAGAGCCTGGGCATCATCTCTCAAGAAATGATTAAGGAAGACTGCCCTGATATTTTAGAACCAGAGGGCAAAATAGAAATTGAAAGAATCCACTAATCACCTCCTGAAAGAGATCCCCAAAGGAAAACTAGGAATATTGTAGCCAAATTCCAGAATCCCCAGGTTAAGGAGAAAATATTGCAAGCAGCCAGAAGGAAACAATTCAAGTGTTGTGGAAACACAATCAGGATAACACAAGATTTAGCAGCTTCTACATTAAGGGTCCGGAGGGCATGGAGTATGATATTCTGGAGGGCAAAGGAGTTAGGACTACAACCTAGAATCACCTACCCAGCAAAACTGAGTATAATCCTTCAGGATAAAAAATGGTCATTCAATAAAATAGGGGACTTTCAAACATTCCTGTGGAAAAGACCACAGCTAAATAGAAAATTTGACCTTCAAATACAAGACTCAAATGAAACATGGAAGAGGTAAACAGAAAAGAGAAATCGTAAGAGACTTATTAAGGTTGAACTGTTTACATTCCTGCAGGGAAAGATGATATTTGTAACTCATGAGCCCTTTGTCAGTATTAGGGTAGTGGGAGGGAAAAAAATTATATGTATGTATAGATAGATAGAGGGCACAGGGTGAGTTGAAGATGAAGGGGTGATATCTGGAAAATGAAATTAAGGGGTGAGAGAGGATTATATTGGGAGAAGGAGAAAGTGAGAGGTAGGATGGGGTAAATTATCTAACATGAAACAGACAAGAAAAGGCTTTTACAGTGGAGGGGAAATGGGGGAAGGTGAGAGGGAATGAGTGAATCTCATTCTCATAGAATTTGGCTTAAGGAGGGAATAACATACACAATGGGGTACGGAAATCTATCTTACCCTACAGGAAAATAAGGGGGGAAGGGGACAAGAGAGCAGGGGGTTGATAGAGGGGAGGGCAGATTTGGGGAGGGGAAAATCAAAAGCAAACACTTCTGAGGAGGGACAGGGTCAAAATAGAGAATAGAATAAATGGGTAGGATAGGATGAAGGGAAATATACTTAGTTTTTCACAACAGGACTACTATGAAAGTATTTAGCATGGCTACACATCTATAACCTGTATCGAGACGCTTGCCTTTTCAATGAGGGTGAGTGGGGAGGGAGGAAGGGAGAAAATTTGTAACCTAAAGTTTTAAAAACACATGTTAAAAAGAAAAAAAATAAAGAGGAAGACCTGTAGAAATTAACTGTTCCTTAAGTGTACCGTACTTCCAACTAATACATCTTTAAAAATGTATATATATATTTTCATTTTCCAATATTGCTCTCCATACTCCCCAACTCAGAGTTATCCTTTATAATAAAGAACAATGGAGGAGCAGCGAGGTGGCGCAGTGGATAGAGCAATGACTCTGGAGTCAGGAGGATCTGAGTTCAATTCCGGTCTCAGACACATAACACTCACTAGCTGTGTGACTCTGGGCAAGTCACTTAACCCCAAATGCCTCACCAAAAAAAAAAAAAAAGAATAATGGAGGTAGGGAGGGGGTGGGGGAAACGGTTCAGAGAAACTACCCAACATATCAACTGAATCTGACAATGTGTGCAGTGTTTCATACTCACCTCTGCAAAGAAGGGGAAGGAGGTATATTCTTATAGCTCCTCTTTGGGGCCAAGCTTGGTCATTGTAATTATGTAGCATTTACTAACAGTTTTTTCCATTTCTTTTCCATGTACGGTATAGCCATAGTATAAATTTTTGGTTATGCCTACATTATTTTGCATCAGATGTGTCTTCCCTTAACTACAAGTTTTCTAAGAAAATTTAAAGACACTTTTTCCCTGGCAAATTCAGAATTAACCTGTAGTCTCTGGGTCAGCCATGTAAGCCACTCAGTTAAAAATTATCTGCCTTCAAAACAATTGAAAAATGGTCTGTTACCAGAGGACTAATGATGAAATATGCTACCTACCTCCTAAGAGGTGATAGACTCAAGGTACAGAATGAAATATATATTTATGGCTGTAACCAGTGTGGGGATTTGTTTTGTTCAACTATGCTTATTTGTAACAAGGATTGTTTTTCTTTTTTTTTTTTTTTCTTAATTGGAGGAGGTGAATTTGGTTGGGGAGGAGTGGAGAGCTATTGATAGTATTACCAAAAAAATAAAGAAAAGAGGCCATTGGAGCCTTTTGAGAAACGCATAGAAGAGAACAGAAGGAAAAATGCTAAACAGCTTTAAAAATAAGGTTGAATTTATTATAACTTTAAAAGCAAGCTCTACATAATACAGA